CCAGTTAGTCAGGTCGGTTATCCGTTCTGATCCCTGAGACAGTGGCGTAAACAATATCTCAAACGCTCGGGATTTTACGCCAGCGTCTCAGCTTCGACAGGAGATAACCCGGTTATAGAACAAAGTCCGTCGAAGCTCCAGACCATTCTTGACCCTCCCCGGCGTCTTCTCTTTTTCAATTACGCATGTATGAGCTGTTCTGCCTTCTATTCTGAAAGCATTGACAAAACAAAACGAGCACAACTAATGCAGCCACGACTTTTGAATCTGTAGAAGCAGTGGTTAAGAGACAAGACTTTCTAGGATACCTGAGTGTCAGTCTGCTGAGACATGTTCGCCAGCGATTTGCCTCAGATGTACGATAAAGTTTGTAATTGATCAGGGTAGCATGAAAATAATATTCGGAAATGGTTTTTTGATTGAAACAGAGGTAGTAGAACCGGAAGTTGTACTATGAATAAAATTTTACCTCTGAAGAGTGGCTTCGGCAAAGCATATCGTACAGGATTCCAGGTGAATGAGCGTGTGATGATTTGTCTAGTGATTGAGATAACATAACAGACAAATAGAAACTTATCAAGTTTAGGTGTCTCCACTGCTGAACTTCCGAACTATTCTGCGTCAGAGATGGAGAAGCGCAAGCATGAGTATCTGCGATTTGGTAAACGGAAGCATGAATACCTTCGATTTGGTAAGAGGAAGCACGAATACCTTCGCTTCGGTTAGACCGCAGAACGGCGGTCTCTGTTCATTGCTGTAATTGTGAACTTCTGCTGTTCAGTAAACGTACATTTATTCGTTACTTACGGTGTTTGTCACTCAAACACTACGTCATGTTCAACGCAGAGTCGAGCATCAATCAACTTCTGATGGCCGTGCTTGACAGCACAATCTGTGACAGCGGTAACTCACGCTTTGCTAAATGCGATCGGCAAAAACTTCTGTCACAGTGAAAGTCAATTTGGATACCAGTCCAGTTAGGATTACTGCGAAAATAACTATGCTAGATTCACTAGGGCGATTGACTGTCGTCGATTAGAATTTCTCTTTCACAATTCATTACTCACTGTTTTTGGTTAATGCAGAATTCACATGAATCAAACATGGCGTTGACAGTCTCATAACATTTAAATTTCACCATTCGATTTCAACATATGCGCAAGACATGTTATTCCTGGCAAATCTTATGGAAAAGAGCAAAAATGATCTCATCTCGCTTGAGAACAACCTGATCGAAGCTTTTGTTTCATATGGGCAGAGGACCGACTTGTTTTGGAATTTCGAAGCCTATTCGTGAACGAAATTTAATTACAAACTTTTCTCTTCAGAGCATAATCGTACTGTTGCAATGGCCTGATTATTAAATAATCAGCAAAATTGCAAACAGCTAGCCCCATGACAGCATATTTTGTCTGTTTTTATAAAAGTGCGGTGTTAGTACCTTTAATGTTAGTAATATATTACGGGAAACATTATATCCCTATCATCAATCCTCTGCATTCGTTATAAATGTTTATCATCATCTTCAGTAGTGGCTGATCGAAATTTGAATTATCACTCCAAGGAACTGTTGTCCCTAACACTGATGACATCGAACCGTATCACAATGAACGACCCTGTTCAATAAAGCTGTTTTATATACCTGATTCATTGTCTGTTTCTGGTTCAGTTGTAGGAAAGCAATGACGCAATTACACTGCAAACGATTACAACAGCGGCCCAAGCGTTGTTGGCCGAAACTTCTGTCCTAGCTTCACCGTATGACCAAGTATGGGGGCCTGCAGCAATTAAACGCATGAATAGGGTGTGAGGATAATCTGATGAACTTCATAAAATCATTCTACCTTTTGTTTAACAACAGCCTCTGAATCTGCACACACAGATGTCTGCAGGTTGCCACTGAAGCGTCCAACGCTAGACTCCATGCCGTAGCATTGACATGGTATGGGCTTAGTGAAGCAACAGTTTGGTGCTCTGCCCGATGGCTACCAATGTCCAGATTCCGAACATAATGTTCATGATTCATGATCGATGCTGCGGCAGAGATGAACGACTGCGTGTATTACATTAACTCTTGGAGTCTTCCGCAAACCCATCTCGTTCTTCCTTCATTTCTCTAGTTTCTACATAAACACTGGCAACGAACTTCAATCGCGAGTTCTCTGCCTTAGTCCACTGCGATACGATGCTAGGATGTAACATAGACGATGTATCGTAAAAGGATTCAAGGAGGTTTGGTAAGAGCTTTGAAGAAGGAATGCAGAAGGTATTGCTCCCTATATAACCGTGGCCATAAAAATAAAAGCATGAGTATGAACTCTTCAGTGCTTCGGCGCATACTTGTGGATGCAGCCGATGGCTGAATAGAAGTAAACCAACATCGATCGTCTGCCTGGTTTTGGACGTCCTAGGAGACTTGTCTGAATGAGCTGCTCTGGTCTAAACAATTACATTGTTGAGTATGCTAAATCCGAATAAGGCTTGAGAGGAAGAACATTGGATATTCGATATCATTGCTTTGAGAATGATAGAGGTGTCAATCACCCAACCGACATCGATTTAAAAATCACTCAGGTGATATAATATACCATCTGACAAGAAGAAGGAAAGACAACGAGAAATAAATTTTTTAAGCAGAAGTGTACAGTAGGCCCTGTCAATTCAATCGAACAAATGCATGAATAAACACATAGATATAGAACTAAAAAGCTTTACTATCGAGGTGAAAACTTCTCTGGCGGAAGAATTACCTGTCGATATCTTTATGCACCGTAACATTTTTCCATAATTCGCTCCATAAAAGCGAATCTGGTATGATTCGAAATGTGGCAAAATGTGCAATAAATTCGATTTAGAGTGTCATTCCCCAATGGGGTTTTTCTGGAAATTTTGCTTTAAGCTAAGACTGTAAAGCAGTTATGTCCGTTTTCTTTGACTGCATTCATTTCTTTCCGAAGAGTACCAATATCTAGAGCTAACTTTCATTTATTTATTATTATCGCTGATTTATTAACCGCGTAATGATGTCACTAGTGACGAAGAATGTAATTAACAAATTGCCTGTTTTGGTGACAATAGAAGAAATAACCAGCTGAGATTTCAGTTTCTAATGCCGGATGGACTTACTTGGCCTAAGAACACCACCTTCATACTTCTAGTTACCTTCTAGAAGACCAGGGAGACTGTTTAGCAAGTCACGATTTCAAGGCACCTGATCAAAACAGGCAAAGAAAAATGTTCGACAGTGCCCCCTAAAAGAGTCGCAGTAGTTACTCCATCAAAGACATTGTTGCTTTGAAGTGCAGGGCGCTGCTTTGACTTACCGATGTGATGATGAGCCTTTTTTATCTGCTGCTGGTTATTAACTTTATAAGTTTTGTGACAAAGTTATGTCATTTGCGATTTTCACCCACTTTATTAAAATAAATTCCTAAAGTTCATCCTGCCACCGACCCATCACTGTCTCTTGGAAACTGATATTATATCCCTTGGTCCAGCGAGGGTCGGTTCTTCTTGCAATATATCTCACCCAAGTC